ATAATTTATGACAATATGCTATACCTCTTAAGAATGTGCTAGTGAAATCACCCAGTGGGCAGGTAATTGTCAGCTTCTGCTGAGACCCTGTTTATCTCGTCCACTGTTGTCTACCTCCCAGTCCTGAGGAAGCCACATGTAGTCCATGAAGAAACTGCAAGTGATCCATTGTGTGTCAGCTTTATATTATTTATTTATTTAAACACCCATGATCTGAAGATTACTAAAACTTTCAAGATTTAGGCTTTCTCACTTTCAAGATTTCAGGCAGGAGCACTAAAACCTTGTGAGACTTGGTGATCTTACCAAATTTCAGCCATTTTAATCTTTTTATATGCTTACATGTAGCATTGGGGCCCTATGAATGCCATTTGGGGCAGTTGCATATGCCATGAGTACATACTTACTCATGGCATATGTAACTGTCACATTAGTGCAGGCTAATGTGATGGTCTTCCAAAGCTTTTGATGATGACACAGTGGTTTGCAAAAAGAAAAAAACTTGGGAACAGCTGATCTGTTCAGAGAGGAAGTGGCTGTTCAGGGTCCTCGAGTAAAAAACTTCCCCATCCCCTGTTACTAGCTGTTCCCATTAAATGGAAATGCTATGGCTTGAACCCTGCATGCTGTTGCCCCTCAACAATTATTCTGCTTTCAAGCATATTTATACCCTAATCTTCCTTCAAGGAGTTCTTTGTTCTGCATGTGGTATGATCCTCTTTTTCCTTACAACAATCACATGGGCTAAAATTCTTCTCATAATTTCCTTCTTTTCAACTATGTGATAAATCTATAATGCTGGTTATTGTTGATTATGTTTCACAAATAGGGAAGTCTGTTTGAGAAAGGATAGATGGCTAAACTTCACAATTTGCCTGTGGTAGAAATGGCTCATGCCCAGGTGCTTTGGGTCCAGAACAGAGGCACACTGGTATTCCATTATCTGAGATGACAGCTGTGACATTTTTATTACAGTATGGATTCCTCATATCCTACTTAGAATCCAAGCAGGGATATCCTGGGGGGGGGGTCAAAAAAGTCAAGATGGGGACCATCACCATGTGATTGAACCCCAGTCCTTTTTTATGTGCATTGAACATGCAACACATATAAAATGACAGAGCCTTGATCACACTATTGCAGATGTCATCTTGACTATTTTGACCCCTCTGTGGACAATCCTGAATCCAGGGCTTTGAAACCATTACACAAGTGGCACTGAAATTTTTGAGGAGGGGCAATAAAGTCAGTTTAACCAAGCATGGACCAAATCTGTTGAAGACTGCCTTCTATCCTGACAATAAAGTGGCATTTCTTCCCTTTGACTTACAGAATTTTGGAAACCCACCCTTTATTCTTCAAAAAAACAGCATCTTTTCACCTTTTAGCATTCGAGGCAAGCTTCTGGGCTGAAGCCAGAAGGATCATTCCAAACTCAGCAGTGTCTGAAAGCATCCCCAGTCAGTGAGAAGAAAAGAAGCTGTCATTCTCCTCTTGCATTAAACATTCTGCCCCTGACTCATGCTGGCGCCAGTTTTAGAGCCTGGTTCTGTGCCACACAAAAGCCAAATATAATTCTTCATTCAGCTTAGAGAACAAGTCCAGTATGCTAAAGATAAGGGAAGTGGCCAGAATGTTTATCTACCACCTGCCTGAAGCAGTAGAATTAGATTCTTCCACCATGCCCTCAGTCAGCTTGAAGGACATGGGAATCCACAATCAAATAAGTGGAGGGACTTTTGCTGAGACTCACAATTAGCATTTTTTTTCAAACTCCTCATTCACACTGAATATTAGGTACAAATCAATACAGATCCACAAATTTACAGTGTCTATCAGTGAGTTTGTATAAAGATTTCGGGTTTCATTCCTGGTCATCGAGACAATCATTTTGACTGAAGCACACTCCAGGAATGTTAAGACTGGGCATTTGCTAGACCGCCAAGTTTTGTTTAAGGTTCACTGCCCTAACATCCTACTATTTCTACTTTGAACAAACAAACCATCTAAATTCTGTTCAACAAAGAAACTTCAGAGGTAGTAAGTCTCATTCCAGCCAAATTTGGAGGGTTCCAGCTGGGAAGTTCCTGGAGTGAGTACTACAATTTTTATTGTTGTTGTCATTTATAAATACATGGGAGGATACATGCTGAACTGAGGCCTTTGTATGTGTGTGGAGTAGGGTTCTTTATAACCTTTTGTTCCTTGCTAAAGGTCCAATATCAGTTCATACCTACTCTGTCCTTTGCTTGTCACTGGCATGGAAAGAAAAAGCTTATACACTTTCACCTATTTTTAAAATATTTTTTATTGCTTTTCAATTTTTTAAAATAATTTTTTTATTGCTTTTTAATTCTTTCACCCTTCCCTCTTCCCTTGTCACTGATTTATAAAAGAAAACTACAGTGAAAGGCAAACCTCTTGATTAATGTTGTATTTTGTCCCTGATGCCTAGTAGATGGTACAGTCTTAGTTTGTCTCTGTTGTTAGGCTAGTAGTGGAAAAGCAGGGTAAAGGAACCTGAGTGAGAAGCTGTGCACTAGCTTTACCCCCAAATGCTTATGGACCCACAACCTATATTTCAAAGTTTCATATAACAATAAAGGAGGCCTGTACAACTGACTGATATTTGTTTAATATGGTTAGAACTTTTTGCCTGGTTTGGGACTTTGAAAAAGTAGAATTTCTGTTTGCTTAGAGATTTTGTTAAATGTGCACAAATAGATCCTTGCTGTAGACCACCATATTGAATTCACCTAAATAAAGCTCTTCTTGCCTGCTTTTCTCTGCTTTCTTTTCAACTATATTTGCCCAGAGTCCTGAGTCTCCTTCTGCAACTTTTTCTATATCCTTCCACCTTTCCCAACATTGTAGACTTCTCTAGAAAGTTAGATGTTCACATAACATGTCCAGAATACAATAATTTGAACTGGTTAATTTGTGCCTTGAGTCAGAACTCTGGATTGGTTTCTTCAATGATCCATTTGTTTGTTTTCTTGGCTATTCATGATATTCTCAGGAGTCTTTAACAACAGTGTTCAAAAGCGTCAGTACTCTTCCTACCCCACTTCTTCAGTGTCCAACTTTTGCTTCCATGGAATGCCATAAAGAAAACCATTGCCTGCACAGTTCTGACCTTTGTAGATATGGACACATAATGGCATCTGAATATCTTTTCCAAGGCCTTCATGGCTTGCTCTACCAGGTGCTAGTCAGAGGTGTATTTGACTGCTTGTTCCTTTACTGTTGATGGTTAATCCTAAAAGGCAGAAGCTGTCTACCACTTGATTGACTGTCTACATTGATAAGTATCTTCCTTATCAGTTCTAAAGCTGGTTGCTGTACCTGTTGTCATTACCTTGGTCTTCTTTATATTTAAACTTAGTCCCATTTTTTCACTGTTCTCCTTGACTTTCATTATTAGAGATTGTGACCATTATATTTTCAGCTATCAGAGTAGTGTCATCAACATAGCATAGGTTGTTGATGTTTCTTCCTACAGTTTTAAAGCCACACTCATCTTCCAGTCCAGCTTCCTTCAATATGTCTTCCGCATATAGGTTGAATAAATAAGGGGAGAGTATACAGCCTTGTCTAACTCTTTGCCAGTCAAGATCCAATCTGTTTTGCCATGTTCTCTCTGGACTGTGGCTTCCTGTCCTGTGTATAGCTTTCACATGAGAGTGGTGAGATGTTCTGGGACTCTCATTTCCTAAGGACATTCCATAGTTTGACATACTCAACATTAGTCCTTTCTATAATCATTGAAGCACATAATGACTTCCTTTTGGTTTCTCTGGCTTTCTCAATTATCCAGCATGCATCTTAATAGCATCTGGGGTCTCCTTTTTCATGTAGAGTTCTAATCTGCATTGGATGATCCTATGCATTCTTTTGTCAGCATGTGAAATTAAGAATATTGTACAATAGTTTGTACACTCTGTTAAATGTCCCTTCTTTGTATTGGTATGTAGACTGATCTTTTCTGATCTATTAGCCACTGTCATCCTCCAGATTTGCTGGCATAGTTTAGCTAGAATGTTTGCTGTTTTTTCTTCTGATGCTTGCCATATTTAAGTAGATTTTTCATGAATTCCTGTAGCCTTCTGACTTGGTAAAGAACTGTGTACTGATCTAACTTCATCTTCTAATACTAGAGGTTCCTGTAAATAGGGAATATCTCTGAAGGTATCTTGTATGTTGATATCTGTACTCTGTAGAATTTCAGTATACTCTTTCCATCATTGTTTGACCTTCTTTGAATAAGTTACTATCTGTCCATTGGTGTCCTTTAGCATACCAGTTTGAGGTTGGAACCTCCTGAGTTGGGAGATCTTTTGGAAGACTCGTTTTTTTGTGTCTGCTTCCATCTTTAGTACCTTTACATACGTAATATTGCTTCTTTTCTAACAGCTCTCTGATATTCTTTGTTAAGTTCCTTCCTGAGATATTTGTCTTTCTTGGCTTTGGCTACTCTTTTCTTCTTGGCAGTTTCTATTGTTTGTTCTGATACCCAGTTTGTTCTGTTTTTTGGGCTTTGGCAATCTTCTTTTCATATTCAATCTTAACAGCTACTTTGATTTTATTCCATAGTTCCTTTGGTTCCCTATCAATGAAGTACAGGAATTTGAAGCAGAGGAATACAGAGATAGCCTTGAAGAAGGCATGCAACAGCCGTTACAAAAACATTAGCTTAACCCAGAAAGACAGAAGTGATGAGAAAAAAACCCTCAAGATTGCCTCGCCTTGACTCTCTTTGGTATAAGAAGGAGGAAGAGAGAAATTTATATAGGTAGTCTTTGGGTTACGATCACTTGTTCAGCAACTGTTTGAAGTTACAACAGCATTGAACAAATGGTAGTTATGACCGGTCCTCAAAGTTCCAGCTGTTGCAGCACCCACACGGTCATGTGCTCAGAAATTGGGTGCTTGGCAGCCCGCCCCCATTTACAACTGCAAGGGGTGTTTCAATTCCCCCGCCCAACTATTTCCCCCCACATCTCTGCCCTTTTGGCCATCCTGCTCTCCACCACGTACCCCTGCCCACCCCCCTGGCCCTGCAGCCCAGCTGACCTTTGCTGTCTTCTTCCTCCCACTTCTGATCCAGGATCCAGGCACTGGGTGAAGGTGCAGCCCCGGGACATGTGCAGCGAGCACAGCAGGGTGGCAGAGCCTTGTCTGCCAAAGGGAGCTTGCCGGGCCTGGCCAGGGAGGGGCAGCACTGTGAGCCCTAACTTCCAATACCAGTGTGAGGAGCGGTAGCTCACAGAACATGGAGAGTGGAGCAGGACAGGAAGGTGAGGTGTGGTGTGTTCCATTGCCAGGCGAGGCAGAAAAGGTGGCAGTGGCTCCCCAGGTAAAGGTGGCAGCTATGTGGGAGGTACTGTTTGGGAGGGGTGGAACTGGAGGAAGTAGAGGGATGAGAGCTTCACAGAGGCGCAGCACGCACTCCGCAGTTTACATTGGAAGCACTCCTGGAAATCTGGCCTGCAGGCTTCAGTGAGGATGGAAGCAAGCCCAGTGCTGACAGAGCCTACCCACAGGCCCTCTGCTTGCTCTCGGTCCAGCCTTCTTCCTATAAAGCCTCGTGAAAGGCCAGCAGCTTCCAACACGTTGAAGCCCACAGACTGATTCTCCAGGAGCACTTCCAGCGTGCGCTCTACAGCTCACGTTGGAAGCTGCTGGCCCTTCACAAGGCTTTGCAGGAGGAAGGCTGGGCTGAATGAGCACAGGGAAATGAATATTTGAAAGTAACTAATTATTAAGCTGGACCCATAATCAACAAGTCTCCTACCCAGGAGGCACTGGGAGTAGCACAGCTGCAATTATGAATTAGAGCAAAGAACACTGTTCATTCCAGCCCTTCCAGTGAGTTCATAAAGAGGAGATGTTGTTACAATTCAGGCTACAAAACCCTGTCTGGGAGTGGGAATGCCAGCAAAGGTTTAGCAAGAAGCATATAGCTTAATTTTGGAATCAGCCCATATTTGATGATACATGGTTTAGCCAAGTAAGTTTGGACATTCACTGAACATTGACTTGCCTTGAAATATAAACAAGTAGAAGGAGGGGCATACAATGGAGAGGAATGTATTGGTAGTTGTAGAACCAAAATAATCTAATGATGCTGAGCATCCCTGCTCATATAGCACAAAATCTCAGCAAAAGAAATGAAATCAACTGATATTATTCAAAAGCACTGCGCAAAGGCAATGTGGCTGAAGCCATGGGATAAATCTGCATCTTTGGCAATGTGATTGGAACATTCTTAAGGATATTTTAGATCTCTGCTTTAAATTCTTAATATTTGTTTTAAGAAAATCAATCTCTAATTTAGTTTTTAAAGTTAAACAGTGGAGGGAAAAATGGGCATACATACAACCTTACTTGTAATTATACCTTGTAATTTTAGTTACTGGACTGTACTTTATTGAACACATTCTTGATTTCAGTTCTACTAGAAAGGAGTGAGTGAATGAATGAATGTGAATTAATTAATTAATTCTGTACTTTATTGAACACATTCTTGATTTCAGTTCTACTAGAAAGGAGTGAGTGAATGAATTAATTAATTAATTAATTAATTAATTTTAGAAAGAAGTGGCATGGTGCCATGATGCTATTGCCTTAG